AGAGTGGACACTTCAATCAGACACCTTAAATGTATTCTTATGTATTTGCAACCCATTTCCATCTTTAATCACCAGAAATTAGGTTAATCATGGGTCAGAAATTCAAATCCAATATGGTAGATAATGGAAGGAATCATCGCAGTAATAACAATAACGCTACAAACAACTCGCCGTATTGTCCTCTATAACAATAGGGATTCACACAACAATAAATCCCAAGCCGAGGGAATTAACTGGATCACATAATACAACTAATTGTTGTTCGAAGATAAACATAAATCTCTCAACTCAATATAAATATCGTTTATTACTAAACCTGAATGGAAAAAGCTTTGAATAAAGAAAATAAAAAAAGTTTCTATGGGAAAGTTTATAAACGAAATTGTCGCACACTCTATACTCTAGTGACTATTTCTAATAGAGCGGAAAATTTTAAAGTCAGCTCAAGTGGATAAATGGTATACCGTGAAAAGGGGATTAAATTTAAAAGTAAGCAAAATTTCGGTTCATCGACCATCTGTAATATTGGGGTATTATGTCTGCCATGTACGATAATTGTATCTTTTCAAGTTTACAAGATCGTTTATTAGATCATAAAAATATACTTTCACAATTAATCCCATCACAATAGCATGAACATCCTTTTCAATTTTGTAACCTTGAACACCAACAAAGAATCAACTTCTTTTTTTCAGTGGGAAAGAAGAGACTGAATATTGAGTGAAATGCTTTTTGCTACTCTATTAAATAAATCTTACTAATGCCTTTAGTTTACACATAAGAAAGAAGTTCGGGTGACTGAATTATCTAAAGCAGATTACTGGCTTGTAATATGTATGCAAGATGTTTTTAGGGTGTTTTAAGGGTGTTTGGTGGGGTGGGGTGGGGTGGGGTGGGGGGAAGGAGGGGGGCTGGTGTTCATTGTAAGGCTGTCTGCTTAACTTTGTGGGTTTTCTCTGGCTACTCTGGTTTTATCTGCAATAAGTTGATAAAAAAGTGACCATATTGCATATCAGAAATCAGAGGCCAGACTTGGAATGTCCACTGTACACTTGATCCTGTCAAAGCCAGTTGGACTTAACTACAGCCACTTCAATTTTTATTGCTACAGTTGAAGTTTATTTGGGTGCTCAGTATAAGTAGCTGGTCAAGAGGTCCTAAAACTGGACATAATTGACTGGACATTTAGTGGTCATTGCCTAAGTAGATGTTATCTCATTCACTTGCAAACACTTCAATAAATATCTTAATGCCAGATGACTATTCATGACTAATGCTTTGAGAAAAAGTTTTCCTTCACATGTGATGTCTTACTTTGTGAAAATCTAAGTCATTGGTAAATAAAAAGGATAGCTGTCTAGTAGTTTGGTCCTGTGTGCACATTGACATGCTCTTTAAAGATCCCTTCGCAGTTGGAATTCCATATAAGAGTCAGCCATAGCATTGATGTCCAGACAAAATTTCCATCCTAGCACAAATTATGGCGTATGTCTGTCTTCATTATCCTAGTCGATGCAGAAAAAATAGGATTCTAAACTCCATTTCATTTCATAATGTTTCTGATTTCTACATCTCTGTATGTGGATCTCTAAAACATGTAAAACGTGCGAAGTAAATACTCGAATCAGTAAGAAAAAGTGAGAGAGAAGCATGCCTGTCTGACAGCTGAAGTAAGATAGTGATAGATTTAGATGCAGCATGTGTTCAGCACACCTCTACCCTTTTCCTTTTATCACGAAACTGCATCAAAATTTGAAACAAAGTAGAAAGTTTCAGCTTTCACTGCCTTCAGCAAAACTTATTTCCTCAAATAGCTCCACGTATTCTGATATAAAATTGAGTTTCTCCTCCAGCAAAAAATCGAAATGCCAAGATGAAATTAAATAAGAAATGAAACATATCATCAGCCCTTTTTATTTGCTCTACTTTTTGATTAACAAGGTACTTTTCTTTTGTGAATGATGAATGGGACCACAGTGGAATAAAATCTGTTAAGTTAAATAAAGAAATGGAACATCTATCGGGAATGATGAGAGGGACCACAGTGGAATCAAACTATAATTTTACTTGTTTTGTTTTTAGATATTAGTGAATGAGAGGGACCACAGTGGAATCAAAACTCCCATTACACGAAACATCTCATCAACTTAATTTACATTTAGATGAAAAAGATATTTTTCCATGAATGATGAGAGACCACAGTGGACTCCAACTCCAATTACTTTTGTATTTGACCAGCAGAACTGGTGACCTAATGTTGGTAGTCTCTGTTAACCCCAACCAATAATGTCCCACACGCCATATTTTGAAACAAAGAGAAATGAGGTTTAACGTCCACTTAACATAAACTAAGTCATTTAGGGACTAACATGGTTAAATTTATTTCAGAAATTCATGTGTGCTAAGGAGTTTTTAGATGCATGAGCACCCAGAGAAAACCCACAAAGACGGACAGGCCACCCTAATAGAAGCTGGGAATAAAACCACACCACTTGATTCAATGACAGAGACATAGAGAGAAATGGGGTTTAACGTCCACTCGACACAAACTAGGTCATTTCGGGACTAACATATGGTTTAATTTTATTTCAATAATTCGCTTGCGCATAGTGGTCTTTAGCAGTGGGAGGAAATCGGAGGACCCGGAGAAACCCACGAGGTTGGACAAACGACCCTACTCCTTGTCACGTACAACCGGGGAATCGCCAGTTGACTCAATGACAGACCTTATGATACAGCGCGCGCATGCTAACCATTCGCCCATCCAACCCCCCAATTCAATGACAGACCTTATGATCTAAAGTGCATGTATAAGACCGTTCAGTCATCCAATTCTCCATTTTGAAACAGCAACCCTGTTCTGTATAGAAGAATACTGTTGAATTTATCAACATGTAATAAAGTAATGAGATGTAAATTTGATAAGAAGTAAAGTGACAGTATAATAAAATCAGACCCAGTATGAATTAATTAACTTTGTAAAAATATTTGTTTACTACTATATTTCAAAATGGGATGTTTATAATATAGAGACAGGATTTCAAAATGAGATCTTGTATATACAAAATGAGATGTTATATGGCCACAGGAGCTCAAAATGGGATGTTGGTAAAGTTTGTGCCCCTTGGGGAAATCCTTGAGTCACTTGCCCCCGCCCTCACCCATTAAAATAAAACTGTGTCGGACATCTTGTATCCGTCTCAGATTCCAATGCAGTAGGATCAAAAGGGCCACCTGACCAAAAAGGTTCCTTCCCTGTACTAGCTAGGTTCCTTCCCTGTACTAGCTCGGTTCCTTCCTATCCTAGCTGTGCTATTGTATGCATGTAATGAGAACAATGTTCCACCACCCCACTGCCAGGCCTAAGTTCAGAGGCAGGCAGGTTCTAAAAGGGGAACCAAAATGGATTGTCTGAAACATCAAACTTGGGATGTCTTATTTTACATGTAGCTAAACTGTATCCAATCCAGTTTTTTGGGGGGTTTTATTTCAATAAATCGACTCATTCTCACCCAAATGATGTAACAATGTTCTATATATTTTCATTGAAAACAAGAAGCTTTTTAGGAAGTTGTGTCTCAAGGGACTACGGAACCTATGAGGACACTTAAACTATATTACATTATCAATTACCGGTATTAAACATAAAACTATAAACCATATCAGATGCAGGTTTTTAGGTGTTTTTTTTTTAAATAAATCGCCTTTTTTTTCACCCAAATGATATAACAATATTCAATATTCATTGAAAAACAATAGGCTTTTTCAGACAATCTTATAAGTAAGTGTGACTTGCATTATATTACATTAGCAGTATTGAAATCAACAGACTACAGAATCTATGGGAACAATCAAAATCCAGTATCTAAGTGTGACTTGCATTATGTTACATTAACGGTATTAAAACTATACATAAATATAAATACCGATGTTAATTTTACCTAATGAATAATTCCAGGTGTGTTTTTTTTGATACCTGACCCAGGATATATAAGTAAAACTGTCTGTGTATCTGGGCTATGTAGAATTATTTTACCTACAGCCTCGATATTTGAAACCCAGCTCCAATTTCTACTTCAAACGATGAATACTTTAACAGTATGTAATAATATATTTAGTCTCTGAGGATAAATAGTCTATTGGTATGTATATATATGTGAATGTATCTATATACAATATAGTATATGAAAAGTGAATGATAACTACTCTTAGGTATTAAATATACAAAAATATATAAAAATATAAAAGTTTTTGAAAAAAAGAACTACATTATTTGTCGATTAATAAATAGAACTTTCGCTTATTTTATTAAGGTCTTCAGGTAAACAACATTTAGAGAATACCATGTGTAGAATATAGTATATATGATTCCTCTCATGTTGAGTAAATTTATTAAAAAATAACAAAACAAAAGTGGATCCATGGGTCCCGTTTCACAAAGCATACATTAAGACTTGCGTACATGTAAATTTAAATTTTACTGTACAATTTAACAGGATTTACACACTCTTTTTTTGTCTGACATTATGTCTATTCTGCAGTAACTTTTTATAATTACTGGTAAGTCCTCTTTTCACCATTTGTAATATATGATCCTGTCATGTCATTTTATCTATACCATTGGCATAATTTTAATCATTTATTTCTTACATGTTAAAAGTTTGGTTTGGTACTGCCTTGACCAAAAGTCTACTTTAGCTATAGGGAACTGCATTAGTAATTCATCAAAAACAGAGAGTGAATGTTGGTAAAATTTCATATAAAACAATGGTAATTTGGCACTGTCATGCCAAGAACCATCTCTGCATATTGCAATAAAGATCAAGCAATCAGATGACATTGACAAAATAATTGCTTTTTGATTCTGATTTTGTGCTGCCGTGGTTAAAACAATGACATTGTAATTTATTAAATTCTCAATACTAAACTTTTTTGATGTGTAGGGGTGTATGATATTGAGAATTCTGAAAATCAAATAATAATAAAAAAAAAAAACTTACTTTAAGAATAATGAAATCCATAGTATGTTTCCAAAAGTCGCAATGTAATTATTTGCTCCAGAGTTTTTAGGTCCAGGAGATCTACATAAAAAATCCTTTCCGCACATTGGAATTACGTAAACATGCAAAAAATGTTGGAAAATATCCACGTTCTTCAAATAACATTGTATTTATATCCTTGATATGCTGGAGTAGAAGCACAGAAAGATTCAATTAATAAATCACTTAATCGTTAAATCTGAAAGCAATTAAACCAGTGTGTAATACTCAACCCAATTAATTTAACTTGTCATCATTCAATTGGAGATAAATTGGTGGTAATTTCAATTTTTCCAATAACCATCAGAACCTCTAATAAATATGCAACAGTTGTTAAGTTTTTTAATTTTTGGATTTGCACACCTTTTTCCAATTAATATCAGAATTTGTAACAGTATGTAAATAATCCTTTAATACATTGCAACAATAACAAAACTTTTTTTTCCAATAAATTGTAAGAGTTTTAAATTTTTTGGATTGCACACCTTTTTCCAATTAATATCAGAGTCCGTAACAATAATCCTTTATATATTACAACAATAACAAAAACTTTTTCCAATAAACTGACAGTTTTCAATTTTTAGTTTTGAACACCCTCTTTTCATAACATAATTTCTTTGCATTAAAAATCAGTTGCAATAAAATCCAATACAGAATTAATCCATCACACTTTCAACTCCAACTCAACTAATCCAAAAGAAAATCCAAAAAACTTTGAATCCAAAAAAAGTTATTCTCACAGGTAAACTATTCCAGTTCTGTCCCATAAAAGTTTTTCTTCCATTTTTCACAAGTAATGGTAAAAATCTTTGTATGAATAAAACTCCTTTCACAATCGTCTTTAAAAGTGAGAAAACTTTAAAGAAAGAACAAACTTTTGTACAAAAAAAAAACTTTCTTAGAAGTTTTTAAAAAGTTGTGTAGAAAACCTCTATATATGATTTGTTTGTAGCACGATCAAACTCCTAGCTGTTCCTGTGTGTTAAAACTCTCATAAGGTACTGACTTCTCTCCCTGACTCTCAGTGAGCAGCCTAAATCCAAAAACCTGTCAGATTTAGAAACGCTGACATTTGATAAGTTGTAGGCCTGCTACTGGTGTGTCTGTTAGCAGAGGATGGAGCAGAAGTGATTTCTGCTTCTGTTTTGTTCAAATTTTGCCTCCAGCTGTCCGCCTGCTTGCCTACCTATGTATACAAGTATATATGTGTCTGTCTATACCTAATGCACGATAGTTATATCCCTAGTCGCTTGGTTAGTCAGTGAATTATACAGTGGTATAGTATCATACCTCTGTATACACCATACCTTGAGTTAAAGTCATAGAAGGGGTTTATTATAGCAGACAGCTTTTTCCTACACCCTCTACCACCAAACACATGGTGGCAGCACTGAAGGTTAAAAGGTCATTTTAATCGTCTGCTACAGGTCAGTTAAGTGATTGCTGCAGGTTTGAGATTTACACTTCTGGATTTGATCAAAATCTCAACAAGTGCATCTATGTCTACATCTGTTTCGATTCAGAAAAAGGCCGAACTAACTGCATGATGTTTGCGTTACTTGCATACAGGGTCCACTTTTTCCATGTATTTCCATTGGCCATTTTAAACATTTTCTACATTCTTGGCATTCACACATAATTCAAGCATCATTTCAAAGCGCATAAAGGTCTTTCTTAAAATATACAATGAATAAAATATGGTAATTTATAACAGAAGTACGATTGTACGCCAGGCTAAAAGTCAACGTTAGTTACATCACATGACATTTTTTTTAAAACTATAATGGTAAACACATACGAATAATCCACGACATCCTGATGTTGATTATCAAGTGGAATTTAATCGAAAGTTACAATATTTAGAAATTAATTAAATTTATATAGCTTTTTAATTAATCCCTCCCGTCTTGAAATCTCCCTTACATAACAATAATCTTCCTGAAATATAATCCTTATAGCTAACAGAATTCTCCTATAAAAATAAATTTGAAACCATAAAACCCTCTTAAAATGTAATAAGGTTTAACTACTTTCTCTTAGAAATGAAATGAAACTTAAGAAACGTCCGCTGTAAATCTATTTTCTACCTGGTGTGTTTTAATAAGAACATTAGACAGACATCCTGCTTGTTAGAACTACGATTCTTTATCAATGGATGCGAAGCGAAGTGAAATTAAATGGGGTTTAACATCCTCCTGGGCGATTGAAGACAATCATACAATGGGTTATGAGAGAAAATGAAAATTTGTCGGACAGCCGCGTTTCAAACTGTCAAGGGTTCTTTTACGTGCACGCTGATGTGTGTACACAAGACAAATTTTTGGTCCTATCCAAACAACTATACACTTTCCGTCCTGCACCACCGAAAAGGCGAAACCACACTTCTACAGTTGATGAATTCAAGGACGACAAGAATGTCCTTAAGTATGGAAAATTAAGATGTTAGTCCTCATTTCATTTCATATCCTTTACATGAAGCAAATCTACACTGAATAACTCTTACCAATTAAAGTGGCATTAAAGGTTATTCCAACCAGAATATTTTCTTGTCATTAATTAGTCTTTATTCATTCTAATTGTTGAATATTCATATTAATTTATACATTCTAACAGTTTAGACTCCGATGTTTGCAATTTCTTGAATAAAGGTCATTGTTGATTTATTACGTCACTTACTGTAAACAAAGTTATTTAGGTAGCCAATTAATTTAAGAATTAGAGTTTTCAAACAGAGTATTTGAGAAATATGGATGATTGCTTGATTCAATAAGTTTGTAGATCACGTTAATATACTATATTTTAACTCCATACAAATTGAAAAGACTGAAAATCCATGTTTCATATAAATTAATAATACTGCTACTTTAAACACACTTAATCCTTTTTTTTTTCTTAAATGAACTAATTAAATGCGTTATCCAATCCTCCATTCAAATAAAATAATCAACTGTTTCGAAAACATTATTAGAATCCTGAAAAAGGTTGATAGAAATCAGATTAATTGGAACAAAAAACCACAACAAGTTAAAAGAATTATTATCCTATTATCCTCACAATCAACACCTGAGGCTACGAATCAAATCATGTTTCACTTCATTCTCACATTCTCTATGCTTCAGGTAAAATCCCTTCTTTATAACCTCCTACATAAAAAAAAAAATATCCACTGTACTCTGTAAGGCGAAATCCCTCCTTTATAACGACTAAATCTCCTAAATAAAACAACAACGAAAAAAAAATATCCGCTTTTCACTTAAAAAGATGTAATCGGTTCTCATCTCATTCAAAAACAATTCAATAAAAGTCTTCCAAGTGCCAGAAATGTACTACTACTATTGAAAGCAGGATTCATTTTAAACAAATTATCCGCTGCTTTGAATTCTTCTCTTATCACCTTTTGTTGCTGCCTAGTTTTATAACACATCGAGCGAATAGTTACCCAGCTCGTTTTCAACTTCTCCATAAAAACCGTCCCTACAATTTCTCCAAACTCATAATATGCCAATCAAAGCAACATTAACTGTTTTGTGTTATCGCTCGGTGAATGCTGGATAAAATAAGGCAGTTGGTTATTATATAATTAATCGGTAGAAAATTTGAATTAGATAACGGTCGAGAGAATTTATCCCCTTTTCTTATTTACGAGATGGAACTAGCGTTAAAATCAGTGACGTTACATTAGAATGAAACCTGTGGCTTATAACGAGCGAACAGAAACTGTTTCCAGTGATTACACACAGGCCAATCCATTTTACTAATCAGTTTAAAATTGAGCTATGATTTTATTGACCGTTTAGCATATGCAAGCCACGATACTGAAAAGATGTATTAAGGGAGCTCAGTAAATTTAAGATTAAGATAATAAAAACAATCCAGCACTGCAACAGAATAGGTCGTCTTAAATAATTGTTTAAAAAGTATGGATAAGGGAATTCGGTAATCTAAGATTACTATAAGTGTGTGTCTGTCGAACCACTTAAGTTTTCTCTGTATACTTCGGTTTCCTCCCACTGCTAAAGACTCCTATGTGCAAGCTGTACCATGTTAGTCCTGAAATGACCTAGTTTTTGTCAAGTGGATGTTAAATACGATTTCTCTCTCTCTCATTTCTAACAAACAAAGTATTAAATTTCTAATACTTCGGTTTCCTCCCACTGCTAAAAACTCCTATGTGCAAGCTGTACCATGTTAGTCCTGAAATGACCTAGTTTTTGTCAAGTGGATGTTAAATACGATTTCTCTCTCTCTCATTTCTAACAAATAAAGTATTAAATTTCTAATAACAGGCAGGGGACTTTGGCAGTGGAAGAAACCCAGAGGAAACTCACGCAATCAGTAACCTTACATGTCTATAAACACAGGACAAAACCATGACACTTGCATCAATGACGGACCTTACGATTCAAACCAAAACACCTCTCTAAAGCAAACACCGGGCTACCAACCCCACCTGATTCATCAAAATCAATAAGAATAACCTTGTATGACCTTTATATATATATATATATATTTTTTTTTTTGCTAATTACCATTAAGTATGATATAACATCCTGTTATGAGCAATTAAAAATTAATGTCTCTTTTATAATCAAAGCAAACGGATCAGTTAGAACTTTCTGGTTCAATTATTTCTTTTGAACTTTAATTTATTCTGAGTACTTAATTAAAAAGTTTATTTGAGAGCACATAAAAACACTGGATATCTGATCAGTATTTTGTAATATTATCGAAAGTTGTACATCTAACATTAATCCCCAACAAAGAATTTGATTTCAAATTATTCATGAAATTGAAACATGAAGAGCATTTATAGGAAATCCATCCGGGACATGGTGTCTACTGACTTAGCATGTGGCTCAAGATCCTGTGGCACGGAAACACAAAACCAATATTTATATCATAAGCGGGGTGAGTGGGGTAGTTCTGGGGTTGTTCTCTCAGATGAAAGGAGGTGGTAGATTTTTCTTTCGCAAAGTTTTGGGCTGTGTGGAAAAATGCTTAAGTGGTTTACAGCATGTTTTGTTTTGTATTTTCATATACTATGTACCCTGTATGCAGGTTTTATACTATTTATGTGACTGCTCCAAATTTATGCCTGTCCATATTTTTATACCCGTCCAAATATTTTGTACTTGTATTTAATACTTTGTATATTGTATTAATGTATACTGTCCTCAAAAAACGTTTCAATGCAATAAAATTCTACTCTATTCTGTGAGACACAGTAAATGCTTAACACCTGTTGAGCAATATGAGGTGATGAAAATCAGAATCTGACAATAAACACATCTGAGAGGGGTTTCAAAAACTCTACATCCATGAAAAACTCATATTTAGTCTCTGAGTCACCTTTATGTTAAAAATAGATTTATCTCAAAACAATTCTTTGTAAAAAAAAAAAAGATAACTGTTTTTAATGAATCAGATAATAAATCTAAATATGTAATATTCAATCATAGGTGTTTTAAATTTTATAACGAAGCACCTGTTGCTATCTGTACCATAATGAAAGAGAATAAATTGTATTATTCATCAAAAAGCTTGTGCTATTAATATCAGTTGGACCGTTTGTTGATTAATTCAAATATTCTCTTATCTACTTTACTCTCTCTTTCATGTGAAATTGTTGAATTTATTCCAGCATTTCCTGTAGATGACAAATCTGGTTCTTTTCAACCTGCCCACATGTTACCTTAAATTGTTGTTTTTAAGTCAGTTATAATTATTTTGTAATAAATTAATAATTCTTTGTTCACCTGAGGAGTAAAGATCAACCGATATATAAAATATGTTTTAGAAATTAAATGATTTATTGTTTCCAATTTGACTATGATCAATATTAGTCTGGAGAAATAAGCATCCCCAGTGTATTTTTATTTTTTGTAACTGGCTCCGAGAGAGAGCGAGAGAGAGAGAGGGTTTAATGTCCTGTTCTGCTCCTACTGGGCTAATGACCACTGGTGAGAGAGAGAGGGAGAGAGAGAGTTTTACATCCACTTAACACAAACAAGGTAATTTCGAGGGTTAAAGCAAGCATCCCAAGCATCCACAGATGTATTTGGTAACTGGCTGGTATAATAAGTTGTCTGCTTATACAGATCATGCAATGACTTATGGGAAATATTATTTCAATCAATAATTTAACAATGCATTATGCATATTTCAAATTCAATTGATGACCTTTTGTTAGAAAAGGAACTGGGCAAGCGCTATTCCATCTTGTTGCTCCTTGCTCCTCTGGGGGAGGGGGGGGGGGGGAACCCTCTTCAGAAAAAACCCTAAGGATTTGCCAATTCAAGTAAGATC